TTCCGACTAGTTTATGTCCAGTTTATGTTATAAGGTTGGTTAAAACATTCGGCGGTGTTCAGCTTTTCGAAAGAAATGAAGAAGGGAAAGGGAGGGGCTTATTCAGCTCGTTCGAGGTCCCTCTTGTTAGTTCGATTTAACCTGTAAACTCTTGTAAAGCTGCGAATGGTTGTGTGAGCCATTTTGATCACAGAAACTTACAGGTCTTCACAAAGTGGCCAACACAAGCTCCCCTGAGTATCATTACTGCCCCACCAAGCCGAACTGCGAGTGTGTGGGTATAATGCAGCAAAAAAACTGAATATATCACGAACTTGTACCAGTCGTTTTCTGCCCAAGCACCCAGTAGTCCGTATAATTCGCATCTCCCTTCATAACCAGATATACGCGGCTGTAAGGACGCATTCGATCTTCGCAATCAGACCGCTTGAGTTTTTCAATCGCGCGATTCGAGCGATCGGATCGCGAAGTCTAAATGCGTTCCAAGCTGACTATGAAGTGATCTCATAGCTCATGTCGCGAACTAAGAACACTGCTTTGGCAAAAAGACGAAATGTCAGAATTCAATCGTTCATATGGGGAGACGGCATGAACTCGTTCTTACTGTCAGCTTCATACGAATTTCACAACTACAATGATTTCTGATCCTGCGACCTTGCCGACACTTCGTGGCAATGAGTTTAGGCCTGGCTGGTTATCTTTTCGCCTGCGCCCCCCCGCCATCAAGAATGGTGTGGTTCTCACGTGATCCCCTTTCAGCGGTGTCCCTAGCATAGGAGACAGGACGTTGTATAATACGCTACGTAGGGGTCTTATTCAGCCGCAGGATAGGGCGTCGTATCTGGAATAGAGAAATTTTTGCTGACTGTTGGTTTCTTTCGCTGCTTGGGCGTTTCTGATTCCTATCGAGCTACCTACCCCGCCCTCGTTTGGTGGCACCTTTCGAAAATTTTGCGCGAAGCGGCGAGTTTAGAAGGACTGCTGTAGCGGTAAAGGAATTTGAGCATGATGATCCAGATGGAGAGCGCAGACGACCAAAGAATGGGCACGGCCATTTCCACTGCCCCCTTCCTAAGTACCTGGTAGTAGTCAATATTAAAACGAGGTCTTACAAAAACCTATAAAGCCGTTGAGTATGACGATTGATTAGCCATGGCGGATGGATTTTCGGGATTAGTTAGAGCAGTTATCTCCCCCACTTGGACATCCCCTACGAAAATCTGCGCGTGTCTCCTTTGTACTATCCAGTGTACTGAAGAACCTGAGACACTGGACCGCCGAATGCGTCCCAGTCGGCGTGGAGGTGGGGGGTTAGGACAGGGCACGCCCGCAACACTTTAACGTCCTCTATTCAAGCTTAGCTCTCACAATTAAACGTAGATATGAGTAGTTCTCGGCAGACATCACCTTTCGCGTGACTCTGGTCGTATGCGCTGCTAATGCCTGCAGTCCTTTAGTCAAAGGGGGTGGGAGAAAGAGAGAGCAACATGAATGGGTTAAAGGCTAGTGTTGCGGAGTCCAGCCACGGCATTGCCGCCTGCCAACTGCGTCAGCACCGACATTTCTAGTGCAGGACAAGCTTGCCCAACTTCGAATCGTTATCGATGGTCCTCTCCCCTTCCCCTCCCTCACCTCCCCATCCCTTTCCCTCAGTAGAGTTATGACCACTATGGCTTCAATTATTGATTTTTATTGCTTTATTACTCTTGAATGACACACATTTGTTTTTTTAACAGTCACCAATTGCCACTTGAAAGGCGGAGCATTGAATCGATAATGTGACTTCAGCGGGGCACCTGATGGGCAATCAGCGATGTTGCGATACGTAAACCAAGTGTCGACTACATTATGTTAGGTATTACAAGCTAAACAAACTTCACCTCGCAGGGTCGAGGACGTTTGAAAGCGCGATCTGGCGTCAGTGAAAAACACGCGCCGTCGCGTATGGGTGCACTCCCGACGAGTTATCGATTCAGCGGACCCGGGGCTCCGTCGAGGCGTTGTCCCAATGCTTTTCATTTTGCCTTCTGTGCTTTTTCAGAGTCAATATAGACTTCTCCATAGCATTATGTGTTCTAATCTTTGACGAATTTTTTCGCATTCTTTTATTCAATTTGTCTTTCGATCCTCCCTTTTCTTAAGTTCCTGCGCTTCAACTTGTCCTTTTAAAATTTCGGGTGTGAGTCGTAGTAGATCGGAACATTTTGATACAGAACACCCAGACCTTCTGGAAACATTTCTCTTTCATCACAGCTCTCATGAAAAATGCTCCTGTTTTTGCCTTTAGGACTAAGCAAGGGGAAAAAGTGAGTCCTTGCTCCATCAAGCTTGTGTAACTCGTTCCTGCCATGGGCCTAGGCAAAAATTCTCATTATCTGGTTCGCAAATGTTTTTCGACACTTTTGGCAAAGAATGGCTTTCCAACCACAGAAAGAATTCGAAGAAATGGCGACGGGGACTGGTTGAGACGCACTGTATTAAAGAGCCATTTGTGCAAAATTGCGATCACCTTGGTTCGACGAACTATTGCACAAATGAGACGGATGTTACGGTGACAGGATCGTCTCAGGCGGAACTTGCCAACCGGGAAGCCTCTCTTCTCTTTCCTTTTTTCATTCATTGTACTTTCCTTCCTTCTTTGCTTCTCGGTCAATGACTCCTTCACCTTCTTCCTTCAACTACTGGACCGGTAAATGCCTCGAGAAGGATGCCACTGGACCCTCGCAGCGAGAGCAGCTACTGCACAAATGAGCCGGAGTTAAGTTGACAGGATCGTGACAGGATATTTGAGAACGCGGAGCCTGCCTCCTTTTTTCGTGCTCCTTCCTTCTTTGCGTTCCTTCCTTTTTTCCATGTTCCTTATTCCTTCAAATGCCGCGGCCAGAAGACGGAATGAGAAAATATCTCTGGACCCTTGCAGCGAGAGAACTGCAGGTTAACAGCAGCCGCAGCCGTTACACTGTAGTCAAATTCCGTGCGGGGTCTATCTCTCTATGAACGTTTGGAGAAGCTCCTCTTTTTGAGAATTCGCAAATTCTTCACCATATTTTTTTTGGTTTCCCTTTTATATTCCTCGGGTAAGGAATGGTAAGAATGTTTTCTAGTCTCCTCTCCATTATTGTGTTTTATTCCTAGTCCAGACAGGCATCCAGGGGCAAAAACCATCGTCAGTACTGACTTGTTTGCGCGCAATGGGCGCAAAGTTTTCGTCGCGTCATTTGTCACTGTGTTCCAGCGATCGTGATTGCCATTGACTTGCATCATTTTATCGCATGTCATTTTTCCCGTTTTTCATCCTGCACTCAACTGATATATTATTGAAAATGACGTTTTAATTTTGCGTACTTGACTGTGAAGATGAGCTTGACTGCTGTATTGATTGGAAAGTGTTGCTAGTCCTTTTCAGTCTTTTCGTGTAATTCATCCCTTGTGTACATTTGTTATGCAATCGAATAGATAACGTAAGAAGGGTATGTTTCCCACTGTTCTAGTCATTCTCTGAGTTTCCCATGTTGTCTTTTTCTTGTCCATCTTTTTCCTCCATTTCTTTTTAAACGATCACGTGGCAGGCTGCTGTTCTGCTTCCTCCTCCCTCTTCCGATAGATAGTGTTCGAAACAATTTATAGAAAATTCCCAGCATATTTCGAGCGGGAATTTGATCAATTCCGAATAGAAATGTGGGTGCATACGCGGGAAGTTGGTTGCAAAGTATGGCTTTTACTGTCAAACTTCTTTCTCTATTAATCGATCGAGCACTATTAGGGTAATGCGGACTACAAAGTTCTACGGGCATCCGGAATATAATTTTGCTTATAGAAAAGGGTTCACCCACGCGAAAGTTCCTCCCCTCCTGGGCATAGGGAAAATTCTCTCCCACGGGTCTTAATTGCTGCTTTGCAGTTCAGCGTTTAGTGCCTCTCTTCATTGGATTACAACCCTGTGACAGCGCTACATTCCTGTTCTGCACCTGAAATAACGTTTCCTTGGAAAAACTTCACTGGAGCCAACCAAACACGCGGGATACTATCTCGGCGAGGAAGGAGCAGATGCAATTTGCCGTTTCATGGTTACGGGGCACATGTCAACCAGACGTGCTCTCGCTGCGAGGGTCCAGGGGTATTTTCACGAGGCATCTACCAGTCCAGTAGTTGAAGGGAGAAGGGAAAGGAGGGATCAGAGAAGGAAGGAAGGAAAAGGGAAGGAGGAAGAAAAAAGGAAAGAGAAGAGAGACTTCCCGGTTGACAACTGCCCTGAGACGTTTTAGGATACCAGTCAACCAACAAGCCCCCCTGCTCGTTCCTTTATCTTCCTCCTCCCTTCTTTCCTTCCTCCTCCCTTCCCTCCTTTTTGCCTTCTCCTCTTCAACTGCTGGACCAGTAGATATCACGGGAAAATACCTCTGGACCGTCGCAGTAAGAGCATGTTCGGTTGACAGGAGCCCTTTAGCCGCGACAATAGGAAAGTATACGTATCGATTCAGAGAACAGGCAAAGCTACGAGTTGAGAGAAATGCACAATCTGCCGAAATGTCAAAATTTTCTAAAAAGGCGATACAGGGTTTGATCCCTTGCGACTAGCTCCGCCCTCTGTGCTTCGGCAGAATGGGGGTTTCCGGGGAAGTTCGGCAATACTGCAAGATCTGAATTTCTCCCAGTACCGCAGATTTGTCATTTTTCCTACCTCTCCTTTTTTCGTACCTTTCCTTTCTCTGCAGATCAGTTTCTTAAAAGTCTGAGTTTGGTATATGAATGCGGTCTTACTATCTTGATGTACGATTTGAAGGCACCATAGTTAAGGGTTAAAATCACCCGTTCGCCAGTTTTCCCCACACATAGTTGACCAGAGAGAGATGAAAGGTTATAACCTTTTTACACAGAGGGTTGGGTTTCCGTTCATCATATGTAGGATTGGACTGTTTTCATACGAATTCTGTTGGGAAATCGGAAAAGCTGTAAATAAATGCATACGTATCCACTGGGAGATACGAGAAATTGAACAATTGGAGAATACACGAAATAATTCAGGTAGAAATCGAGCGCTTGACTCGGTTGGGCGTCCTGAGAGGCGTCGCAGAACTGAAGAAGTGGAGAATCGGAGAACGAAGTACCTTTCAGTCAGAGAATCACCCATAAGGTAGGACACCAAGCTGTCCTGCAGAGCAGGGCCCTCAGCGAAAACTGGCGAAATCGATTCTTATGCAGTCCTTTCCGCGATTTCTTCAGCTTTGCTTTTCTCAAGCTCGACCCTGATTAGGAACACGGCCTAACATTGACCCACGGAAAATCGCACTATGCTCACACTTGATTGCAATAGTTCGTCAGATTACTGTGACCTCGATTTCGCACATGAACTTTTTGAGGCTGGTGTTACAAGCATCATTTGTTAGGTTTTTTCTCGAAATCTTAGAAGTTAGTGCTGAAAAAAAACGTTTAGGAATCGGGTTTATTAGTCAGGATGCAAGGATGTTTGCCTGAGTCTGGAGGAAGGACTGCCGGTTGGTTGAAGGCAATTCCCGCGATCAAGTGATCCGCGAAATACCTCCGTGCATTTGGCATCCAGATCCACACCTGCACAGCGTGTGAAATTTTTGTCTCTCGACTGGGCGAATAAGGCGCCTACAAACACATGACTCTTGTGCACATTGTTCTTTTCACTCTGCAAGACAACAACCCACACTGTGGATAACGTGTATGCATTTTGTTGCCTGCAGCGTCGTAAGACGATTTCATATGCTCGGCGGAGATCATATTAACTTGTCAACTCTTCTGCGAATTCACGAGTAATTATATTAACGATTTGGCATGGTCGCTCAGTTTTCTGTTTCAATCCGTGTTCTGTATCGAACCTCGTCATTCTGCGACGATAGCTCAACTGTCTTCTAGCTTCTGTTTCCTTTCAATGTTGAGCTCAGAAGTTTTTATGTGATTATTGCAGGATGGAATCTCTTATACCAATCGTGAATAAATTACAAGATGTTTTTGCAACGCTGGGACGTCGTGAAGATCAGATACAATTACCCCAGATTGTTGTTATTGGTTCACAGGTTAGTGGATACTCCTTACTGCTTTTGTATGTTCCTTTTTGGAGAAAATAGTGAAATTTATGCAGATTGTTGTAAATCTATAGAAAGTTTTTCTTTTCAGAGTGCAGGAAAGAGTTCAGTATTGGAAAATCTCGTTGGTAGAGATTTCTTACCTCGCGGAACTGGAATAGTTACAAGGAGGCCGCTTATACTTCATCTTTCTCATGTTCCAGCTGACGACGAAATCAGACGGAGGAAGCCCGACGGTTTGTTGACATTTACGAAATTCCACTCATTGATTTGAGGCCATGTTATTCCAGGGTCAATGATCACCGACGATTGGGCGATGTTTGAACACACTGGTAATAAGATCTTCACCGATTTTTCTTTAGTTAGGAAAGAAATAGAAAATGAAACTGACAGAGTGACTGGTACAAATAAGGTACACCTTTTTTCTTTTTTTATATTGCCTGCTGTGTTGCCGTGATTTTGCTTTTTGGGGCGTTCACTTTTTGCGTATGTGGAGAACCTTTAGCTCTGAGGAGTCGGCGGTTTTGGAAAAAGCCCCACAGGAAGGTGAACGGATCGTCTATAGAATCTGTTACTCAGACTGGGACAGCGTCCTCAGGGCTGCGAAATTTTTGCAAAACACGACCCGTCACCAAAAATTTCTCCTTCTAAAGCGACCTTCTCCCCTTCTCTCACCTATCATTACCAAATTTTCCATCATTTTTTCCAAAAGGTACCAAATTTCCTGCAAAAAAATCCCTCATTCCCTTCCCCAGAAAAAGCTGCCAGGGGAGGGAAAGGGGGAATGTAGGCCTTGAAACCCGAAAAAAAAAGAAATTGGAAGAGAGTCGACAATCGAAGGAACTCCTCTCAAAGGGAAATGCGATCCCTCCCTCCGGCCACCAAATATACAACCCCCTCGTTGGGGATCCCCAACCTACGACGTGCCCTGATTCAGACACACTCGGTTCTTCTCCTGGCTATTTGTCGCCCAGTCTCCCAGGTCACGTTTTCTCGAACAATAGTGCCTCTTTGGTGTGATCCAGGATTTGGTCGTCGTGCCATGCATGTGGTAAGCGGGCCACTTGCCACTGCACCTCCTGAAAACCTTGTTGGGCGGAGTCAAATGGTTCCAATTTTGCTCCCTGTCGATTCCCTGCAATTGTCTCCTGTATCGCGGATTCTCCACATTTGCAAAGTATGAACGCAACCCCACTCTGGTATACGTTTTTCTGGAATTCCATGAGAGTTATTTCAGGGTATTTCTCCTATTCCTATTATACTTCGGATTTACTCGAAAAATGTTGTCAACCTATCACTAGTGGATTTACCTGGAATTACAAAGGTTCCTGTTGGAGATCAACCGCCGAATATTGAGGTACGTTTTCCGTCAAAAACTGTGCGTTTATGCTCGAGTTTTGAAACGTTTGAATTCGCTAAGTTCAGGACCAAATCCGTGAGATGTTGATTTCCTATATTTCCAATCCTTCATCAATCATATTGGCAGTAACTCCTGCAAATCAAGATTTCGCCACGTCTGAGCCTATTAAAATGGCACGAGAAGTTGATCCTGAAGGTAGAGATATATCTGCTGGCATTGTTTTCCGATTATCACTCTCTTACACTGTCATGAATTATAAATTGATTTTTCTGTTCAGGGCAGAGGACACTGGCAGTCCTAACAAAATTGGATTTAATGGATCAGGGAACAGATGCTATGGATGTTTTAATGGGCAAAATTGTTCCAGTGAAGCTCGGTATAATAGGCGTTGTTAATCGTTCTCAGGCTAGTTGTTTCCTGCTTTTTCCTTCGAATGTTCCTGGTCTAGTGCCTCTTTAACGTATTTCCATCCATCAGTGATACTTATTTCGTAGCTTACGACAACTGTTTTTGACAAAAATAACCTCAGGGTGACGGAACCTTGAAGGGCTCCCGGTGCTAAACTGGATTTCACCTGTATCACCTGTCCTCCAGTTAGTCACCGCGTTGTTCAAGTGGACGCCAGTAACGTCTCCATTCGTCCCTGCAACGTGCAAGAGTTGCCCAATGGACTCTCTCTGCTCGAGGGACACGATGAACTTCATACCATTCGTTCAGAGCTTTCACGAAGAAGTCTGACCATCGCGTAGGCGGTCGTCCAGGCGTTCGCTTGACATCCCGTGGAATCCAGTCGGTGATGAGCTCTGGTCCAGCGGTCGTCCTCGAAACGCATGACGTGCCCGGCCCACCTGATCTTCGAAACCTTGGCAAATGCGGCGGCGTCTCTGATCTTCGATCGTTGGCGGAGTGCGGAGCTCCGGATTCCCTCTCTCACTTGCGTGTAGCGGAAAACTCCGACAAATGAGAAAACTGGGATTAACCGACATTGAGTTGTTTCATCTATACCGGACTTTCCCATTTAGGTCCCCCTTTGAGCGTCGAAATAAGTCCTCACCTCCATTACAGTGCTGGCTGGCACTTCAGCCCGAGAAACCCTTCTCGTCTCGTCCAATGATTCTCTAGTCATAAGCGTCTTGGTTTTATTTCCGAACTTATTGGGGTAACCCATTGCGAGCCGTCGGTGTACTGGTGTGTATGCTTTATTTCATGCTTCCTTGTTCAGATAGTGAAAGGCAATATATTAGTTAATTTCATCCGTAATTGAGAAATTATGCTTTTTCGGGATGTCGCAAAAAGATATTATTTAATTGGGTCATATATAGTCATCCCATTATATTAGGTCATCCCAATTCAAAGTGCCGATACACATAGAGGAATGGCAGAAAAGCAAAGGGGATAGAGCAGCGGGCTACTATACCATTTGGAAGCTAGTACCTTAAGCTGTGTATCTGTGAAATTTGGCGAACCTACCCTTAGAGGAGGTTCTCGAGAAATTGAAAAGAAGCCCAAGTGGTGAAAATCAGGGGCTCCGGAATTTCAAATAAAGCTGTTATAAGAAGGAAAGTAGCGACTGGCTTAATCTCGACGGCGCCGTAACAGGTATTTTGTATGTAATGGTGCTCGACTATTACAGGTGAAAGTTTTGGTTCAGGAGCCCGAAGAAGGAAGAAAGGAAAAAATTTGTTGTCGTGGATGGTCCCATAATGTTCATCTGCACAAGAAAAAAGACAGGGATAGAGTCAAGCGCTGAATGTCTGATCGCAGGAGCCTTGGACCTTTTGTCGAGCTCTCCCGCGTCGTGTGACATCCGCAGCTGTAACTGGCTTCCCGAGTTATGTCGCGATAAACCTGGGTACAGTGATTATAAAATCGCTAGCTGTCGGGTGTAAGTTGCCTGTTCCGGTTCGCCCATCAATCCGACACATGAATGTAAGCCAAACAACTACAAGAAGCCACTGTTGCTCGCATAGTGGCCGACCTCTCCGAGTACTGTATTGTTGGCAGTGCTGGACCAACAATACTGAAACAGGAGTCCGATCGCTCCCATTCGCCCAACATAGAGCCGTTCGATTCCAACTGTTCTGATCAGTCGAGGGTACTCTCCGACGGCAAACGCTACAATGTTTTGTCATTCGCCGAAATTGGCATCAACAGCAATTTACTCGCACTTGTTGAAAAATCGAAGGTACCAGAGGTCCAAAGGCTTTCGGGCACTGGGAGCGGGTCATTTTTGTGAACGGAGGGATGGGTAGCTCACTTGAGCCAAAACAGTTACTTTATTTTTTATCTTTTTCGTCTTTGTTTATTAGAACACAAATCGACGGCACTTTTGACTGGGATGACACTATATTTTCGCCAATTATGGGATGACCTAATATTTCCCAAGAAATCAGATTTGAACCCTAGTGTCTTTTACGGTACAGCACACAATTTTCCAATGGGTTAGTGAGTGGTATGGCGGGCTAGCTTGACTAAATTCGCCTTACACAGGTGACGCAGCAGAAACATCCTAAGCAAGTTTGAACCAATAATGTGTATGGATTCCTGTCAGCAATTAAAAGGTTGTCTCAAAAACTCATGTCCTTTTTTGAGTCTCTTGTCAAATCTCTCTGTATTGAAATCGAACTATTGTCATGTGGTCTGTACATATAACATAAGCATCTCACAGTTAAAGCACCGTCCAATCCTTTTTTTCGTATTCAAAGCGGTGACAGAAAGCATCACATTCCGTCACGCTCTGCTATATGAATTTCAGCTGGGTCACATCCTCATTGTGAACATTCTAAGCGCGCCATTTCCCGTTTTCATGCACTGGAACCACCACAGCCAGTGCATTTCCTGTCGTTGGGGAAAATTTCCGCAAAATATTGCTCCCCTCCCCATCCTTCCTCCCACCTAGCCAACTTTTCCCCAACGTCTTTTTCCCTCAACCCGTTTTCCGCAAAAAAACTGCCGCCGAGTCGGGGAGAAACAAGCACATACGACCCCTCCCTCCATTCGAATTCATATAACGATGTAGGTGGAACGGGAAAATCAACTATTAGGAGTCTGAGGCGAAATACGATCCCTCCCACGATCTCTCATTAGGGATTCCCCAACGTACGACGTGCCTCTAACCCCAGCTGCACTGTCCAGTTCCTGAGCATTACCTTCTTCACTCTCATTTCTTGTTCGTGCGAACTCTTTGGTGAAACATAATCTAATTTTATTCCAGTACACATTTATGTCGTTTCCTATGGCGTTATTTCTCTCAAACTGGCGTTTTGCAAGCTTGATTTCGAACCCGTTTCTCGAAAATGGTGGAAGGTTCGTGAATCGAGCTTCAGAGCTTTCACTTGTGCTCTCTGCATGCCGTCAGAGAAGTCCTCCTCCCATAGCTAAAAAGGAAGTCGACGAGAAACAGCGGCGAGTGGCACAGACCTGGAAAAAGGTCATGGGGCTGACCACTTGAGAAGTGCTATCCCTCCCTTGCTTAAACACGTGCTTAAACGGTTTGCAAGTGTTTCCAGATGTGTTTCGGAGATTTAAATAAAATGCTTTATGCCACGATTTTGCCGGTCGATGTGCACCACAATTCACTGGATCTTGTTGTCTGAACCGAAAGCCCTTCGCTGACTGTGTAGAGAACCCTGCTGTGACTTTCTCCAGCTTCTCTCTTGTTGCAACCATTATGTTTTGTCACGAGAATGCTGTGTTATAGGCAAGTGAACCCCCAGACGGGACTACCTGGGTATCCATTCCTATCGGGGCTGGCCTAGTCCTGACGCGCTGATAGCTTTTTCTGCCGTAGGGTCACCGCATTCAACATGTTCAACGTGATTAGTAGTGGTAGGATAGTAGCTCTTTGAGTAAAACAATTCATTGTTGTTAACTTCTGCAAGGCTACAACATAAAGTCAAGTCGTGAAGGTAAGAGCGGCCCTGCCTGCGTAACGGTTAGCCCACTCGCGTAGGGTGGGTTCGAGTACCGCTTGGGATCAGGTTTCTGCTCGCAAGTCAGCATTCTGTGTTGTTTACTTCTTTGAATTCCAAAAGAATCGTTCCTGCCCGTCGAGGTTCGAAGGTGGGACTTTAGTCAGCTATCGGCTCAACTTTTTGGACGGTAATCGTCCCTTCTCCAGCGGCCAAATGTGTTTCCAAAGTTCAACGGAAATGAGCAGCACTTACCGTCAAGCACCCCCAATCTACTCTCGAAGTTCCGGGTGCCTAAAACTCAATGAAACCTTTTTTTGATTATCAACACTCATCAGGGTTCACGAGCACAAGACCCGCTATGTACATTCAGATAATCCATGTTGGAAGACCGGCGTTTTTCAACGCATCTGGTGGAGCAATTTTTATTTTGGAAGGCGCTGCAAGTTTGAGTCCTGTATTTCCATAGTGCATTTTGCATTAAAAAATTTGCCGTCGTCCCTTTTTGATGAAGCCGCTCAGCCCTCTTGTCGAACATTGCTTCGACTGGACGGGATATTCTACTCACTGGAGGCGTTGGGTTTGCAGTCTTCTACTCACGCTCTCTCTTTTCCTATCAGCTCAATAGAGATTTCCACTGAACCACCGTCTATTTGTTACATGAAAACAGGGCACATCCTCTCACTGAGCAAAATTTTTTCGTGAGACATTTCCAGTTTCCTCCTCTGGTACGACGCCCCTTCCCCATTCTACCTACAATTTAACTGACTTTACGCACCTACTTACCACTCGCCTAAAAATTTACAGTTGTCTCCTCCCCTCAAAAAAAACTGCCGCCTTGCTGGAAAGGGGGAGGGGAAGTGGTGGTGTACAGTATATGTGAGGCAGGAAAAACCAACAAAAAACAAGCAACCGGAGAATTACTTCTATGGCACATATCTCCCCTTCTCAGAGCGAGCAGACACGACCCTTCTCCCCACCCCAATGAGAGTCTACCAGCGATGTGGAATGGGCAGGTGAAACAGGAAAACTACAAATAAAAATTCAAGCAAAATTTCCATGGGCAAAATACGACCCCTCTCAACTGGAGATTCCCGTGCATAGGACGTAGGGAAGGTCGAAACCCAAATCGCCAGCACTCATACTGGTCAGGACTAAATGCAATTCACGATACTTTATACGTTTTTTTTTCTGTTGTGAAACTGAATTCACACCTCTTCAGCAAGCAATCATCGACAACAAACCAATTGGTGATGCTATAAAGGACGAATTGACCTTCCTCCATCGGAAGTATCCGACCCTTGCGAGTAGAAACGGAACGCCCTATTTAGCGAAAAAGCTGAATCTTGTAGGTCTTTTACAACTTCTATCGAATAGGGCTCTGCTGGCTGTTCTCATATTTGAGCACAATCACTGAGCGCTTCTTTCATTATTCCTTTTTAAGCTCCTTATGCATCACATTCGGAACTGTTTACCAGCATTGAAAGCCCGAGTGTCCATTATGCATGCCCAGTGCCAAGCTGATCTTCTAGCGTTTGGAGAGCCAGTGGTGAGTTGGACATAACTTTATGTCTGGGCAGTATTCCAGAAGATTTTCGTGGTTTTGTAGGATGACAAAAGCCGGACGCTTCTTCAAATAATCACCCGATTCGCTACGGCTTACACTTCTACAATTGAAGGCACATCCCGAAATATTGAAACTACAGAGCTGTACGTTTGCTTTGCTTTGTAGCAATAGGTCACCACGCGACGTTCGCGGCGTTCAGATCGGGTGGAGACGAAGGAATGAGGCAGCATGCGTTTAGATGAGAATGTAGGAATGTGACGTTGACAAAGCTTGAATCTATCGCCGCAGCGTCGTATCCAGACCTGCGCGACGTCGCACGGTGGCCTTTTGTTACAAGAGTCGCTTGCTTCCTTAGACCAGAATTTCGTTGAAGTTGCTGTAAAACACTAGCTTTTAGATGTGGAGGAGCTCGCATTTGCTTCATATTCCACGAAACATTCGGGAAATCGCTGGAAAGCGTGAATCCTCTCGAAAACCTCACTCAAATGGATATATTGACCGCAATTAGGAATGCTACGGTAAAGTCTCCCTCAGTTGGGCAAAAAGCTGAATAGCTTCAGTTAGGTACAACTTCTCTTCACTATTAATTCAGGGTCCTCGTCCAGCTCTTTTTGTTCCGGAAGTAGCATTTGAGCTGCTAGTCAAACGTCAAATTCAACGTCTGGAAGAGCCAAGTCTACGATGTGTCGAGCTGGTACATGAAGAAATGCAACGAATGGTCAAACATTGTGGACTTACTACTCAGGTTATAGAAAATTTTTTTTAATGTAAAAGCATGCCAACTTTTGTCAAAATTGAGTTTTTACGAATAGTGTTAGGAAAGGGGTTTATGCTGTACCACAAAAAGGTCCTCCACATTCTACTCCTTGGCACAGTTGCCAGGTTCAAACCAACGTGCTCCTGTTCTTTTGTTTTCCTTCAAGTTTTTTTTCCTTCAACTTTTGCTTTCGACGAGTATTCAGGGCCTTGGGAACGAATGGCTCGGCATTTCACTAATGGTCATTACTTTCTGTTCCTGATGCTTTTCTGTATAGTACTTTTCTAGTACCATTGTGACAGTCCCAGCGATTACCTGCGTGGCTTATAGATTACAGTTTATTTATGTAGCGCAGTTTGCTACGGAATTCAGAGTATGTTTTCATAAAGCCGGCTTTTTTTCAGCAAGAAATGCAACGGTTCCCTCGACTATACGACAAAATAAATGAAGTAGTTTGAGTGGGTACTTCAAAAGCCCCCGTCTGCGACTACAAATGAGATGGTATCGGTCAGAATTTTTTAATAGTTTATAGACTCCGCTTCAGATGTCTCCGCGCCTTACTTAAATGGTGGTCTTCTTTTTTCAATGTAGGTCCTGCGTCCTCATCTCTGACATTGTCCTACTTCGCGGCTTCACAGAGCGTTGGCAACGAATGTTGGTCTCATACAGTGGCACTCTGATCGGCTTCCAAGTTGCCTCGCCTCCAAGGCACTCACAACACCCAACAGGCGTTTTTGTCATGTGTTCAGTTACTATGTTTGTTATTGCTGTGTTTTTTTTTATTTTTCCCCACTGTAAGATAGTATCAGCTTTGGGTGACGCGAGGAAGCGATTAGTGAGCTAGAGGCGTCAGGATATTCCGTTGCTGACATGAAATGAGCAGGTCTAGAAACTGGTACAGTGAGGTTGCCAGTGGTCCTCACTCAGGGTGTTCTCATTAATTGCTTTGCTTTTTTATTCTCTGGAGAGTCACTTAACGGCCAGGGTACAGCATCCTGATATGTGAGGTGGTGGTGTAGGTACGACCTCCCTTCTGAGAGAGGGTGTCAGTACAATCCCTGCCTTAATGAGGGTCTCGGTACGACCCATCTTTCTGAGGGTCTCCGTACGACCCGGTCTTTCTCCAACACCTACCTACCGATTTCATCATTTATCTCCGCCTTTTTTCGCACCCAAAACATCCTGTGAGGGGGAGGGGGGGGCGCCATATTAGTGTACATGAAACAGGAAAATCACAAAAAAGTCAACAAACCCGGAAAACCAAATGCGTCAAAGTTTTCTCGAATGGCACATTTACGATACTCTAGTCCTTCCCAACGACCAACTATACAACCCCTCCTCCTCCTCTCGAGACAAAATGTACGACCCCTATGTGTTTCAGCACAACGATTGCTGAACCACTGTGGCGCTGCTATATGTTTTGTAATTGAACACCACAATCCACAACATTCAATCGCGGGGTTTTTCTTAAGTTGCAGAGCCGCTCACTTGCATTGGTACAAGGTTATAATGTCTCTTTTTGTTGATTTGCTTTGCTTGTGCATACTGTTATGATGTCTGAGCGAAGCTTTTTCAGGTCGCCAATCAAGTAGCGATAGAGCTTGCATATATCAATACCAGGCATCCTGAATTCGTCGGTGAAGCCAACAGGACTCTAGTGAATGCCGAAGAAGCTATCTCAGATAGAAGTCGACCTCGACAGCGCACATCGTCAACGGGCGAAAGGGCTCCGAGCGTTAATTCGGATCAGGTTGGTTTGAATGTTTTCTATGCACGCTTAAAACGTAAACTTTTTGGGTCCTTTCTTTCCGGTGCTTTCGTTGTGCTTCGTAGCGCATGCTTATTGTTTAGTGATTTTTCTCCTACTTGGACGTTGCACGTTAGTGCTTGCTTGCAATATTTCTCTGGTGTTCGTGAAACTATCTGGCTTGTGGAGTTCGTGTCAAGGATAGATAGAAAATGAAAACACCAACAGGCTCCCCGTTGTAGTATAGTATTGTCAGGCCCCCTATGTGGTTCGCATGAGGGACGGCAACGAGGCCGTGTTCACAAGTGGTTCCATGACAAGCCTCGACCGTCGAGCTGTGAAGTCGGTACAATTCTCGAATTACAACATACTGAAGGAGGTGATTTCGGTTGCTGTGTTCAGTAATGTGTTTGTGACCTTACAGGTTTTGGTAGAACTGTTTCACTGCTTACTGTTCCTTTGTCACTTTGACATTTGGTTCAGCCATCTTCACCTCTGCTCTACGATTTTTAGATTGTTGAATTTTCGCTTTTCAGATGGTAAATGCTGTTCCCATGCCAGGCGCAGGGGACGCTGCCATTAACGGAGTTTCAAAACCACCAATGGTTAACGGAGAATCGAAGAAAAGCTCGTGGTGGTTTGGCAAGTCCACTCCGGAAGAGTCATGTGAGTTAAATTAATTTTTTTTGCTGCTTTTCTTTGTTAGAATTATGGTAAAAGTATGAACTGGGGTGCCCTCTGATTTCTCAACAGTTATCAAGAACTAGTTACAGTTGTTCTTCTGAACAAAGCGATCTTTGCTGGTTTACCATGTCAATTTTCTGCAGTGAACTTTACTTTCTCCTTTTACTTATTTTAGGTATAGTTGCTCAAGAGATAGCGCATAACGAGGAACTAAAGGGGGAAACATTCTCACTAGTGAAAATTCCGAGTGTTTTTGACTTTAGCACTTCCGACTATCTCCATTATGTCTGAAAAAGAAGAACTTTGTAGCGAATTGGGGTTGTTAGGACGAACACTTTAAGATATCGTGAGCTGCGTTCATATTATGCGTCGTCGTACAGCAGCATTTTGAGTGTTTCTAAATAGGCTATCGTTAGGGTATATTTATGAAATGGCTAAATGGTGCTATTACCGCGACCTCTTTTTCACTTCCAATGTCCTTATGCATGTCCCCATCTCGAAAACTGCCTACCATTTCACTAACTTGTGGCATATATAGCGCGCGCGAAAGGGAGCAATCAACAACAGGGAAATTTCTTTATGAAGCAAAAAAGACAACCGTGCGCGACGGGATACCACCCAATGATGATCTTCTGTTTGACATATAAATGAAAAAGCATGTTTACTCGAGTTTTTTTTGCAGCTGAAGTGGTTCCGAAGGCAGCACATCTTCTACCAGAGGTACCTGAGAAGCCTCTTGCGCGCCAGCTTACTCGAAACGAACAGAAGGATTGCCTCATTATTGGTGAGTTGAGCTTCACTGTTCACTATAGTACGGTTGTGGAGTGGAACATGAGGATTTTTGCGGGCAAATACGGCTGTAACCGAACATTTTTGGAGTAGTGACGGCTGTGATCGCGAAGAGCAGAAAATTGTCGTGATCCAGTAACTGTTATAGTTGTTTATGGACCTAGGGATTGCACGAATATTGAGAGCGCGCCGAAAGAATGGGTGGTAATCGACTGATCCCTTCGCTTGCATTCTCGGAAGATGGGCGAAGTCTTAGTAAAGCGCAAAATCCTGATTCGCTCATTTCAAAATTTGCCGATTGTCCACCTCGCGAAGTAGAACGCAGTCCGAGACTCCGTTATCGCTGTCCTCATTCCCGTCCCCCACAATCTTCACTTGCTGGTGTACCGATGTTGTGTAAAGGTTTCTTATCATTTCATTTACTTTTTGATTTCAGAACGTTTGATACGAAAATATTTCATGATTGTCCGCAAGAATGTTCAGGATAGCGTTCCTAAAGCCATCATGCACTTCCTAGTAAATTACGTGAGGGTAGGTACTCACATTTTCCTTTTTACTACTTTTCGCTGTTTGACAAGAGGAATGAAACCTAGTATTCAAAAGAATCCAATTTCAGGATAATCTCCAGTCAGAACTGGTACGTCAGTTGTATAAGCAAGATTTGTTAGAAGATTTGTTGTCCGAGACCGAGGATATGGCTCAGCGTAGAAAGGAAACCCTCGAGACGATGAAGGTTCGTTTTCATCCTATTCCTTACTCGGCCGTGCTCCTGTATTCCTTCGCCTAAAACAGCCTTTAGACTTCGTGGGCAACGCGCGTCGCCACAGCTGCAACAGCGCTCCAAAGGTAAAGACGCGGGACGCAGCCGCAGACGGTCGGTGCCGATCGCTACCAGTCTGCGTGACTAAACAGCTACTATTATCCTAATCTCCCATACTCTCTCGAAGAAGCGGCCTGCACCCATCAATCGAACGTTCGCAGAAAGGTAAGTATTCGACGCCGGCTATCTGCTACTGCGTTTGCTATAGCCTTGGAGCTTTGTTGCAATTGTAGCGCGTCAACGCGCACCATTGCGAAACCTGAACGCTGCCCAGTCGGGAAG